CTCAGGACGTGGCGTCCTCATGTCTCATGTCTCTGTCTCTGTCCTCAGGACGTGGCGTCCTCATGTCTCATGTCTCTGTCTCTGTCCTCAGGACGTGGCGTCCTCATGTCTCATGTCTCATGTCTCTGTCCTCAGGACGTGGCGTCCTCATGTCTCATGTCTCTGTCCTCAGGACGTGGCGTCCTCATGTCTCATGTCTCATGTCTCTGTCCTCAGGACGTGGCGTCCTCATGTCTCATGTCTCTGTCCTCATGTCTCATGTCTCTGTCCTCAGGACGTGGCGTCCTCATGTCTCATGTCTCATGTCTCTGTCCTCATGTCTCATGTCTCTGTCCTCAGGACGTGGCGTCCTCATGTCTCATGTCTCATGTCTCTGTCCTCAGGACGTGGCGTCCTCATGTCTCTGTCTCTGTCCTCAGGACGTGGCGTCCTCATGTCTCATGATGTCTCTCTCTGTCCTCAGGACGTGGCGTCCTCATGTCTCATGTCTCTGTCTCTGTCAGGACGTGGCGTCCTCATGTCTCTGTCCTCATGTCTCATGTCTCTGTCCTCAGGACGTGGCGTCCTCATGTCTCATCATGTCTCTGTCCTAGGACGTGTCCTCGTCTCATGTCTCGTCCTCAGGACGTGTCCTCATGTCTCATGTCTCTGTCCTCAGGACGTGGCGTCCTCATGTCTCATGTCTCATGTCTCTGTCCTCAGGACGTGGCGTCCTCATGTCTCATGTGTCTCTGTCCTCAGGACGTGGCGTCCTCATGTCTCATGTCTCTGTCCTCATGTCTCATGTCTCTGTCCTCAGGACGTGGCGTCCTCATGTCTCATGTCTCATGTCTCTGTCCTCATGTCTCATGTCTCTGTCCTCTGTCTCTGTCCTCATGTCTCATGTCTCTGTCCTCAGGACGTGGCGTCCTCATGTCTCATGTCTCATGTCTCTGTCCTCAGGACGTGGCGTCCTCATGTCTCATGTCTCATGTCTCTGTCCTCAGGACGTGGCGTCCTCATGTCTCATGTCTCATGTCTCTGTCCTCAGGACGTGGCGTCCTCATGTCTCATGTCTCATGTCTCTGTCCTCAGGACGTGGCGTCCTCATGTCTCATGTCTCATGTCTCTGTCCTCAGGACGTGGCGTCCTCATGTCTCATGTCTCTGTCCTCAGGACGTGGCGTCCTCATGTCTCATGTCTCTGTCTCTGTCCTCAGGACGTGGCGTCCTCATGTCTCATGTCTCGTGTCTCTGTCCTCAGGACGTGGCGTCTCATGTCCTCATGTCTCATGTCTCATGTCTCTGTCCTCAGGACGTGGCGTCCTCATGTCCTCATGTCTCATGTCTCTGTCCTCAGGAATGTCGCATGTCCTCTGTCTCATGTCTCATGTCTCATGTCTCATGTCTCTGTCCTCAGGACGTGGTCTCGTCTCATGTCTCATGTCTCATGTCTCTGTCCTCAGGACGTGGCGTCCTCATGTCTCATGTCTCATGTCTCATGTCTCTGTCCTCAGGACGTGGCGTCCTCATGTCTCATGTCTCTGTCCTCAGGACGTGGCGTCCTCATGTCTCATGTCTCTGTCTCTGTCCTCAGGACGTGGCGTCCTCATGTCTCATGTCTCATGTCTCTGTCCTCAGGACGTGGCGTCCTCATGTCTCATGTCTCATGTCTCATGTCTCATGTCTCGTGTCTCTGTCCTCAGGACGTGGCGTCCTCATGTCTCTGTCCTCATGTCTCATGTCTCTGTCCTCAGGACGTGGCGTCCTCATGTCTCATGTCTCATGTCTCTGTCCTCATGTCTCTGTCTCTGTCCTCAGGACGTGGCGTCCTCATGTCTCATGTCTCATGTCTCAGTCCTCAGGACGTGGCGTCCTCATGTCTCATGTCTCATGTCTCATGTCTCTGTCCTCAGGACGTCGCGTCCTCATGTCTCATGTCTCATGTCTCATGTCTCTGTCCTCAGGACGTGGCGTCCTCATGTCTCATGTCTCTGTCCTCAGGACGTCGCGTCCTCATGTCTCATGTCTCATGTCTCTGTCCTCAGGACGTGGCGTCCTCATGTCTCATGTCTCTGTCCTCAGGACGTGGTCTCGGTCCTCATGTCCTCATGTCTCATGTCTCTGTCCTCAGGACGTGGCGTCCTCATGTCTCATGTCTCATGTCTCATGTCTCTGTCCTCAGGACGTGGCGTCCTCATGTCTCATGTCTCTGTCCTCAGACGGGCTCCTCATGTCTCATGTCTCATGTCTCTGTCCTCAGGACGTGCGTCCTCATGTCTCATGTCGTCTGTCCTCATGTCTCTGTCTCTGTCCTCAGGACGTGGCGTTCTCATTGTCTCATGTCTCTGTCCTCATGTCTCGTGTCTCTGTCCTCAGGACGTGCGTCTCATGTCTCATGTCTCATGTCTCAGTTCTCTGTCTCTGTCCTCAGGACGTGGCGTCCTCATGTCTCATGTCTCATGTCTCTGTCCTCATGTCTCATGTCTCTGTCCTCAGGACGTGGCGTCCTCATGTCTCATGTCTCTGTCCTCAGGACGTGGCGTCCTCATGTCTCATGTCTCATGTCTCATGTCTCTGTCCTCAGGACGTGGCGTCCTCATGTCTCATGTCTCTGTCCTCAGGACGTGGCGTCCTCATGTCTCATGTCTCATGTCTCATGTCTCTGTCCTCAGGACGTGGCGTCCTCATGTCTCATGTCTCATGTCTCTGTCCTCAGGACATGTCTCCATGTCTCTGTCTCTGTCCTCAGGACGTGGCGTCCTCATGTCTCATGTCTCGTGTCCTCTGTCCTCAGGACGTGGCGTCCTCATGTCTCATGTCTCATGTCTCTGTCCTCAGGACGTGGCGTCCTCATGTCTCATGTCTCATGTCTCTGTCCTCAGGACGTGGCGTCCTCATGTCTCTGTCCTCATGTCTCGTGTCTCTGTCCTCAGGACGTGGCGTCCTCATGTCTCTGTCCTCATGTCTCGTGTCTCTGTCCTCAGGACGTCGCGTCCCTCGGCGCTCGTCGTGTTTGTCTCATGACGGATCAAACTCTGGCGTCTCTGGATCCCGTCCGTTTCGTCCTCGAGTCTCTGACCCAGAACCAGGTCCAGTTCACCGTCTACGACCGAGTCCGAGTGGAGCCCACAGACACCAGGTCAGAGAGAGCACCCCACAGAGCACCCCACAGAGCACCCCACAGAGCACCCCACAGAACACCCCACAGACAACACCCCACAGACCCCACAGAGCACCCCACAGAACACCCCACACAGAGCACCCCACAGAACACCCCACAGAACACCCCACAGAGCACCCCACAGAACACCCCACAGAACACCCCACAGACCCACACCCCACAGAGCACCCACAGAACACCCCACAGAACACCCCACAGAACACCCCACCACACAGAACACCCCACAGAGCACCCCACAGACCCCACCACCCCACAGAGACACCCCACAGCACCCCACAGAGAACAACACCCCACAGAGCACCCCACACAGCCCACAGAACACACACACCCCACAGAACACCCCACAGAACACCCCACAGAACACCCCACAGAGCACCCCACAGAACACCCCACAGCACAGAGAACACCCCACAGAGCACCCCACAGAACACACCCACAGAGCACCCACACAGAACACCCCACAGACACCCCACAGACACCCCACAGCCACAGAACACCCCACAGAACACCCCACAGAGCACCCCACAGAGACACCCCACACAGACACCCCACCACCCACAGAACACCCCACAGAGCACCCACACAGAACACACCCACAGACACCCACAGAGCACCCCACAGACACCCCACAGAACACCCCACAGACACCCCACAGAGAGCACCCCACAGAGCACCCCCACAGACACCCCACCCCACAGACCCCACAAGCACCCCACACAGAACACCCCACACACCCCACAGAACACCCCACAGAGAACACCCCACAGAGCACACCCCACAGCACAGAACACCCCACAGAACACCACCCCACAGACCCACACACCCCACAGAGCACCCCACAGAGCACCCCACAGAAACACCCCCACACAGCCCCACACAACACACCCACACACACCCACACACCCCACAGCACCCCACAGAACACCCACACAGCACCCCACAGAACACCCCACAGAGCACCCCACAGAACACCCCACAGAACACCCCACAGAGCACCCCACAGAGCACCCCACAGAACACCCCACAGAACACCCCACACAGAACACCCCACAGCAGAACACCCCACAGAACACCCCACAGAGAGCACCCCACACAGAACACCCCACAGAACACCCCACAGAACACCCCACAGAGCACCACACACCCCACAGCAGAACACCCACACAGAGCACCCCACACAGAACACCCCACAGAACACCCCACCCCACAGAGCACCCCACACACCCCACACACCCCACAGAGAACACCCCACACAGAACACCCCACACACAGAACACCCACAGAACACCCCACAGAGCCACACACCACCCACAGAGAACACCCCACAGAACACCCCACAGAGAACACCCCCCACACAGAACACCCCACAGACACACCCCACCACCCACAGAGCACCCCACAGAACACCCCACACAGAGCACCCCACAGAACACCCCACAGAGCACCCCCACAGAGCACACCCCACAGAACACCCCACAACCCCACAACACCCCACAGAGAACACCCCACAGAGCACCCCACACAGAACACCACAACACCCCACAGACACCACAGACACCCCACAGAACACCCCACAGCCACAGAACACCACCACACAGAACACCCCACACAGAGAAGCACCCCACAGAGCACCCCACAGAACACCCACAGAGCACCCCACCCCACAGAACACCCCACAGAAACACCACCACCCACAGAACACCCCACACCCCACAGACACCCCACAGAACACCCCACAGAGACACCCCACAGAGCACCCACACACCCACAGACACCCCACAGCAGAACACCACACACCCCACAGACACCCCACAGAGCACAGAGCACACCCCACCACACAGAGCACCCCACAGCCCCCACAGAACACCCCACACACCCACAGAGCACCCACAGAACACCCCACAGAACACCCCACAGACACCCCACAGAACACCCCACAGAACACCCCACAGAACACCCCACAGACACACACACACCCACACCCCACAACACCCCACAGCACACAACACCCCCACAGCACCCACAGAGCACCCCACAGAGAACACCCCACAACCCCACAGAGACACCCCACACACCCCACAGAACACCCCACAGAACACCCCACACACACCCCACAGAACACCCCACAGAACAACACCACACACCCCACAGAGCACCCCACACAGAACACCCCACAGACAGACACCCCACACAGACACACCCCACAGAGAACACCCCACAGACACACACCCCACAGAACACCCCACACACCCACAGAGAACACCCACACAGAGCACCCCACAGAACACCCCACAGAACACCCCACACAACACCCCACAGAACACCCCACAGAACACCGTTGGTTCTGAAGAATCAAACGCGATGAAACGGACAAAGGTCACATGATCTGATGAATGTTCCGGGTTGAGTGGGTCAGGGTTCAGGTCAGGGGTCAGGTCAGGGTCAGGGTCAGGGTCAGGGGTCAGGTCAGGTCAGGGGTCAGGTCAGGGTCAGGGGTCAGGTCGGGGTCAGGTCAGGGTCAGGGTTCAGGTCAGGTCAGGGGTCAGGTCAGGGGTCAGGGGGTCAGGGTCAGGTCAGGTCAGGGTCAGGTCAGGGTCAGGGTTCAGGGTCAGGGTCAGGTCAGGTCAGGGTCAGTCAGGGTCAGGGGTCAGGTCAGGTCAGTCAGGGTCAGGTCAGGGTCAGGGTCAGGGTCAGGTTCAGGTCAGGGTCAGGGTCAGGTCAGGGTCATGAGGTCAGGGTCAGGTCAGGGTCTGGTCAGGTCAGGCTCAGTCAGGGTCTCAGGTCAAGGTGTCTGGTCAAGGGTCAGGGTCAGGGTTGTCATTTCGTCAGTCAAACAGTCAGTGATCAACAGGTGAAACTTAGTAGAAAAGTGAGTTTGTTAAAGATCTTGAATCCTTTAAGGGTCTTGGTGCGTCTCCTCGTGCAGGGAGAACATGAACACATCAGAACATCTGGTGCAGGACAGGGAGGTTCAAACACGTGAGGAAGAGCAGAGTGTCAAAGTTCACCCCCGTCAGAGGCGTCGTCCAAACTTGAACTTCTTGGGTTCTTTTTAAAGACAAAATGCAGTAAAGTGTGTTGACCTTGTTGAGTCATGAAAAAACACAACAGAAACACTGGAGTCAAACCAGACACAAAACTCCACCAACAACTCGTACAAGGACAAAACCCACCAGAACAAAAATACAACAGCATCTACGAAATCCAGTGTAAATCATGAAATAAATCACAGACAGGGAAACAGGCCGAGCATTTCACATCCGACAAAAGGAACAGCAAAAGGAACGTGAGAAGGAAACGTCAGGGAGACTCACCAGAAACACAAAAAGACAAAACAGAAGAGGAAAAGCTCAAATCCTCCACATCAGACGCTGTAAAAGAAACAAACCACATTCTGGATCAGGACGAGACTCGGGTCATTGGATCAGAAAACAACAAGTTCAAACTCTGGATCAAGGAGAACGGTGAAATCAGGAAACGAGGCTCGGACAGAATTAACCGTGATGACGGAGCCTTCCTCCTTTCACACACCTGGGACACCCTCCTCCAGAGACACCGGGCGACGGGAGGCGTGGTCAGTCTGAGACACCTGCAGGTCCATCAGGTCTGACCACGCCCACAGGAAGTAACAACAGCTGATCTACGACACGTCACCACCAACACCCAGGTTCCAAAACGTCCGACCGTTCAAGTCACTGAGCCGAGCTCAATGTCTCATGATCCAGATTCACCTTCAGCCCAGCGAGGTTCTTCCAGCTGCTGTGGGCCGAAAGAACATGTGCACTAGTGCTCTTTTCTCCCGCGACCGCACGCGCGGAGCACGGGCTCGTGTGCCACGTGATCACTTTGACCAATCAGAGCGAGCGGAGTTGGAGCGAACGAATATAAAGCGTTTTTTTAAGACGACTGAAGGATTTTGAGCTGAGAAAAAGTTTATGATCTAAAAATAGGTCAAAATCGCCACAAAATGTGATATTTTTGAAAGCTGTAGGTCGTGTCAGACGAACACGAGCAGGTTGTGTCACACTGACTCCAGGAGAAACATCTTGTCTCGACCCATGAGATTTTTTCTGCTGAAGTTCGAGTGAGACACGACGACACCTGGAGGAGAAACAAACAACAAAACTGTGTCCAGTTATTTGAATGGATCCATGTTCAGCACCAACACCAGGACAGAAACATGTGAACAAGATCAACACACTTCACTGCATCGTCTTTAAAAAAAACCCAACAAGTTCAAGTTCAGAAGAAAACAAAATGAACGTCTGTTGCTTAATAGTCGTCCAAACTTTGTGCAAGTTTATTCCCTAAGATTTCGATGTCCTGATAACAGTTGTGATTTCACATCTTCCAGAGGTCAGAGGTCAGAGGTCAGGGGTCAGGGGTCAGAGGTCAGAGGTCAGGGGTCAGAGGTCAGGGGTCAGTCCTCTTACAGAATGTTTCTTGTGATTGAATCTCAACAGTGAAGTAAGAGTTTGTTTTGTTGTGATGTTAAATGTGAGTGAGTTTGTTTCCTGGATCCTGTTTGTGGTTTGTTGTTGTTCAAATGCTGCTGGTGCTTCAGGCTCCTCGTGTCGTCCTCCTGGTCCTGGTCCTGGTCCTGGTCTTGGTCTTGGTCCTGGTCCTGGTCCAGTTCTGTGTCGGGACTTTGATCCTCGTCTCTTTGGATTTGTGAGCAGGATGTGGGAGTGGGCTGAGCTTTTGTCTTCTTCTTCCTTCTCCTCCTCACCTGGTTTTAGTCCTGGTTTAGTCCTGGTTTAGTCCTGTTTTAGACCTTATATAGTCCTGTTTTTAGACCTGGTTTAATCCTGGTTTAATCCTGTTTTTAGACCTGGTTTAGTCCTGGTTTAGTCCAAGTCAATGGGAAACAAAATTCAAAACTGAAAAAATTAATTATAATTTTTTGTTTTTTTTCTTTTTGGTTTTGGAGACAAATAATGAAGAAAATAATAGATTTTTCGTTTTATCGTTTTTATTTTGAAAAATAAACAAACGACACAGATTGTGGAGTAACGACAAACGGAGACGAGCAACACCAAACAACAAGAAAACAGCATTATTATTATTATTATTATTATTATTATTATTTTTCATGGAAACAACAATGACTTTTGAATTCGAACGATTTGAATTCAGATTAAATCTTCCTGTAAACGTCGTTGTCGTCGCGTTGCGTCGTCGTCGCGTCGGCGCCGCGTCGGCGTGAGGAGCGTCCGTCGGCGTCGCTCTGACCGTGTGTCCGTGTGTCCGTGTTTCAGTTTCAAAGAGGCGATCTCGTTTGCGAAGGCCGGGCGTTTCGACGCGTACGTGGCGGTGGGCGGGGGCTCGGTGATTGACACCTGTAAAGCGGCCAATCTCTACGCCTCGCACCCCGACAACCACTTCCTGGACTTCGTCAACGCTCCGATCGGAAAAGGTCTCCCAGTGACCGGGAAAGTCCGACCCCTCATCGCCAGTGAGTCCAGAACCGGGACAAGACCAGGACTAGACTAGGACTGAACCAGGACTAGACCAGGACTAGACCAGGACAAGACCAGGACAAGACCAGGACAAGACCAGGACTGAACTAGGACTAAACCAGGACTAGACCAGGACTAAACCAGGACTAAACCAGGACAAGACCAGGACAAGACCAGGACTGAACTAGGACTAAACCAGGACTAGACCAGGTCTAAACCAGGTCTTGTTTCTCAGTCCCGACCACGGCGGGGACGGGCAGTGAGACCACAGGAGTCGCCATCTTTGACTACGAGCCGCTCCGAGCCAAAACAGGTCAGTCTCTTCTGATTGGCTGTTTCTCTCTCTCCTGTTCTCTGATTGGCTGTTTCTCTCTCTCCTGTTCTCTGATTGGCTGTTTCTCTCTCTCCTGTGCTCTGATGTTTCTCTCTCTCCTGTTCTCCTGTTCTCTGATTGGCTGTTTCTCTCTCTCTGATTGGCTGTTTCTCTCTCTCCTGTGCTCTGATTGGCTGTTTCTCTCTCTCCTGTTCTCTGATTGGCTGTTTCTCTCTCTCCTGTGCTCTGATTGGCTGTTTCTCTCTCTCCTGTTCTCTGATTGGCTGTTTCTCTCTCTCCTGCGCTCTGATTGGCTGTTTCTCTCTCTCCTGCGCTCTGATTGGCTGTTTCTCTCCCTCCTGTGCTCTGATTGGCTGTTTCTCTCCCTCCTGTGCTCTGATTGGCTGTTTCTCTCCCTCCTGTGCTCTGATTGGCTGTCTGCCTCAGGTATTGCGAGCAGAGAGATCCGCCCCCTGCTGGGGCTGGTGGACCCGCTTCACACACTGAGCATGCCCAGTCGCGTGGCGGCGAACAGCGGCTTCGACGTGCTCTGGTGAGGAACGAACGACAGACCAACGACAGACCAACGACAGACGAACGAACGACAAACCAACGAACAACAGACGAACGACAAACCAACGAACGACAAACTGACGAACGACAGACGAACGAACGACAGACGAACAACAGACCAACGACAGACCAACGAACGACAGACGAACAAACGACAAACCAACGAACGACAAACCAACGACAGACCAACGACAGACCAACGACAGACGAACAAACCGACGAACGACAAACGAACGAACGACAAACCAACGAACGACAGACGAACGAACGACAGACGAACGAACGACAGACGAACGAACCGACGAACGACAAACCAACAAACGACGAACGACGACGAACAAAACGAACGACGACGAAACGACGAACGACAAACAAGACGACACGACAACGAACGACAAAAACGACAGACAACAACGACACGAACGACGAAACGACAACGAACGACAAACCGAAACGACAACGAACGAACGACAACGAACGACAGACGAAACGACGAACGACAAACCAACGAACGACAAACGACAACGAACAACAGAACGACAGACGAACAAACCGACGAACGACAAACCAACGAACGACAGACGAACGAACGACAAATCAACGAACGACAGACGAACGAACGACAAACCAACGAACGACAGACGAACGAACGACAAATCAACGAACGACAAACCAACGAACGACAGACGAACGCATGAAAAATCAACGAACGACAAACCAACGAACGACAGACGAACGAACGACAAATCAACGAACGACAAACCAACGAACGACAGACACGCATGACAACAAAACGACGAACGAACGACAAACGAACGAACGACGAACGACAGACGAACGACAAACCAACGAACGACAAACGAACGAACGACACGAACGAACAACAAACGACAAACAACGAACGACAGACGAACAAACGACAAACCAACGAACGACAGACGAACGAACGACAAACCAACGAACGACAGACGAACGAACGACAAACCAACAACAGACGAACGAACGACAAACCAACGAACGACAAACCAATGACAGACGAACGAACGAGACGATGAACGACAAACAACGAACAAAGACGACAACGAACGAACGACGAACGACAAACCAACGACAGACGAAGACGACAAAACCAACAACAACGAACGACAACGAAACCAACGAACGACAAACCAATGACAGACGAACGAACGACAAACCAACGAACGACAGACGAACAAACGACAAACCAACGAACGACAGACGAACGAACGACAAACCAACAACAGACGAACGAACGACAAACCAACGAACGACAAACCAATGACAGACGAACGAACGACAGACGAATGAACGACAAACCAACGAACGACAAACCAACAAACGACAAACCAACGAACGACAGACGAACGAACGACAAACCAGACGACAGACAACGAACGACAAAACGAACAAACGACAGACGAACGAACGACAGACGAATGAACGACAAACCAATGACAGACGAACGAACGACAAACCAACGAACGACAGACGAACAAACGACAAACCAACGAACGACAGACGAACGAACGACAAACCAACAACAGACGAACGAACGACAAACCAACGAACGACAAACCAACGACAGACGAACGAACGACAAACCAACGAACGACAAACCAATGACAGACGAACGAACGACAGACGATTTACCGACGAACACAAACACGACGAAGATCAAGAAACTCTGACTCTTCCTCCTCTCCCTCCTCCTCCTCCTCCTCCTCCTCCTCCTCCTCCTCCTCCTCCTCTCCTCCTCCTCCTCCTCCTCCTCCTTCCTCCTCCTCCTTCCTCCTCCTCCTCTCCTCCTCTCTCCTCTCTCCTCCTCCTCTCCTCCTCCTCCTCTCCTCCTCCTCCTCCTCCTCCTCCTCTCCTCCTCTCTCCTCCTCCTCTTCCCTCCTCTTCCTCCTCTTCCTTCCTCCTCCTCCTCTCCTCCTCCCCCTCCTCTCCTCCTCCTCCTCTCCTCCTCCTCCTCCTCCTCTCCTCCTCCTCCTCTCCTCCTCCTCCTCTCCTCCTCCTCTCCTCCTCCTCCTCCTCCTCCCTCCTCCTCCTCCTCCTCCTCCTCCTCCTCCTCCTCCTCCTCCTCTCTTCCTCCTCCTCCTCTCTCCTCCTCCTCCTCCTCCTCTCCTCTCCTCCTCCTCCTCCTCCTCTTCCTCCTCTCCTCCTCCTCTTCCTCCTCTTCCTCCTCTTCCTCCTCTTCCTCCTCCTCCTCCTCCTCCTCCTTCCTCCTCCTCTTCCTCTTCCTGTCTGTAGTCACGCTCTGGAGTCGTACACTGCTCTTCCGTTCCACCAGAGGGCGCCGTGTCCTCCGCACCCGCAGCTGCGTCCTGCGTATCAGGGCTCCAACCCCATCAGCGACGTGTGGGCGGTGCACGCGCTGCGGGCCGTCGCCAAGTACCTCAAACGGTAACTACTACTACTACTAACTACTACTACTACTACTACTACTACTACTACTACTACTACTACTACTACTGTAACCCCGTGTTGACGTGTGTCAGGGCCGTGCGGGACCCGGAGGACCTGGAGGCGCGGTCGGCGATGCACCTGGCGAGCGTGTTCGCCGGGATCGGCTTTGGGAACGCCGGAGTCCACCTCTGGTCTGTGTGACTCTGCTCTGTGTGACTCTGGTCTGTGTGAGTGACTCTGGTCTGTGTGACTCTGGTGTGTGTGTGACTCTGGTCTGTGTGTGTGACTCTGTCTGTGTGTGTGACTCTGGTCTGTGTGTGTGTGACTCTGGTCTGTGTGTGTGTGTGACTCTGGTCTGTGACTCTGGTCTGTGTGACTCTGGTCTGTGTGACTCTGGTCTGTGTGACTCTGGTGTGTGTGTGTGACTCTGTGTCTGTGTGACTCTGGTCTGTGTGACTCTGGTGTGTGATGTTTTGTGTTTGTGTGAAGTTGTTAGAATTTTTTTCCTGCACACGATTTCAACAGTAAAATTTGATAAAGAAAAAAAACACGAGAAACATGATAAA